ATGTAACATATGTAATACTTTAATAATTGACTTAAGAAATACAGTTCTTTATTTATAAAAAATAAACAAATATTTTCTGTGAAATTCAGTAATTAAGTTAATTCTGTAAAAGTAGTTATACCATTATAATCTTGCCTGTACAATAGAACCCCTCCCAAAACACAATCAAAAATTTAATGGATTTCAGGTTATAATGGGAATTGTATTGGTTTTAATGTAAAATATAATGATGTATATTTGATGGATTCTATTGGTGGGATGTAATCTGGCAGATGGCAACCAATAGAACAACAGTAATTCCTATTGGAATAATGCCCAAAACAAAAATTTTTTTATTGTTTAATTGAAAATAAAAAAAATTCTGTGATGGTTTCTATTGTTTTTTTCATCAGGGTAATGATACCCATACTGTGCTGCACATTATTGACAATATTGAGCTGAAGCTTGACTTGGCAAATTTAAAATCAAATCGCAATATCTGTAAAAAAAAAATCGCAATTTGATATTTTCCCCCAAATCGCACAGCCCTAGTGTGTGTGTGTGTGTGTGTGTGTGTGTGTGTGTGTGTCCAGTGCTTGGCAACAATTCTTGGGTTTCTGCTGTTCCTATGGCAACACTTAATAATTATTGCCATATTCTCAAAGCTTGTTATAGCTGTATAAAGAATGAGAATGTGACGTAACGCCGCGTTGAGTTCTTGTTTATCCGCCATATTTGCAGGATAGCGCTGCCTTTCCGCTATTGAGTTTAGGGCAGTATTTGATTGTTTGTCGTGATTGTGAAAAATGTCACCGGTGTATGTCATTCATACTGCATCGATAATTGCAATAGTAACTCAGATCATCGTTCTGAGAGAAAACTGGACAATGCTATAATTTTTTTTGCCTTTTCTATGTGTAAAAACACCAAGGGAAGGAGGTCGCGGAGAATACGCCGAATAGTAAATCTGTTAATGTCACTGATTAAACCCACTGACTCTCACTCAATAAAAGAATCACACTGATGTGTTTTTGAAAGTTTTGATTTGGTTGGTTTAATAGTTAACACTACCTTCATTGCGAGCATGACTCTC